TCCTGCCGGTGGAGCTGGTGTTTGGAGCACCCCCCACCACAGGCGTCCCTATCAGGGATTCGGGTCTGACGAAGTGTACAGGGGCCTGAACCCTGGGAGCTCCCGTTCTCAGAGGTGCCTATCAAAGCCTTCCTCTCCTTCCCCTTGTTCCCATCTCAGGCCTGAGAGGGGCGGCAGGCCCAGGGTTCTCCCCGCCTTGGGAAGAGCACAGCCAGGCTCCCAGGGTTTGAATGGCCTGCCAGGTGGCAGAGCTCTATCGTGCCCCATTTCCTGACTCATTTCTCCTGCTGACACCGGGGGTGTCTGCCTCGTGCCAGGTGCTGGCTTGTGCACACATCCAGTCGACTGGCCGGTGGGGACCGACCCCTCAGAGACGCGTGCCAGCGCGTCCCTCTCTCCCTCCCAGGCTTGCCCATGGGTGACGTGCCCATGGACGGCATGTCTGTGTCCGACCTGGGCCCCGTGGTGCTCAGCCTGCTGAAGATGCCCGAAGACTACATCGGCCAGAACATCGGGCTCAGCACCTGCAGGCACACGGTGGAGGAGTACGCTGCCTTGCTCTCCAGGCATACCAGGAAGACCGTGCGAGATGCCAAGGTGGAGGGCCCAGGCTGGGACTTGGCAGCCACGGTCAGAGAGGCTTTGCGGGTAGAAGGGAAGGGGCATCTAGGGCTGCCCTAGCGCTCTGAGCAGCGTAAAGCCAAATTCATTCTCACTGTGAACGTTTATATCGTGCTGTTCTTAGGAGCCAGGTGTGGCCACTGAGTGAAACTTCTGGTTTTGTCAGTTGATCAAGTGGTAAGGAAGGGTTCCAGGAAGAGGGGACAGTAGGGGCCAAAGCAAGGAGGGAAAACGCAGGGTGTCTTGGGCTCCTCTCGGGGAGGGGAAGGAGGCCGGAGTAGGCCCCATCCTGGTCCCCTCTTCTTGGCCTGGCACAGTCCCCTTCTCCCCTTGCCTACTCTGTCTTCCTGTCCAGACCCCCAGGTGCCTTGTTTCTTGTTTCTCATTATGAAAATCTGGGCTACTCCAAGTCATTAAATGACAAAAACCACCTGTAGAGCGCCCTCAGACCCAATCAGAGCAATGATGGGGGAGAGGCTATGGCAGGACAGGCCAGTCAGACCTTGGACTCAGATCTTGCTCCCAGCCCTTAACACCCACCCGTGTGTGACTGGAGGCCCAGCCCCTGACCCCTCTCTGCCTCAGTTTCCTCATCTGTAAAGTGGGTGTATGGAGAGTATCCCCCTCCTCGGGCTGCTGTGAGGATTGAATGGAACAATTGCTGTAAACGCTCCCTTGGCACAATGAACGCACTAGATGCACTAAATGGTTGCGTATTACTCTCTAAACAAAGAAAGCCTGAGGCAGTCATGGAGGATTTGGAAGCTGAGGAGTTTAAGATTCAGTTTGGTCAGGAAAGGGGAACACCTTTGGTTTTTTGAGCAAGAAGGGACGTAAGCATAGTTCTGATTTGGAAAGGACTGAGAAGTTTTCATCTCGTCATCTTGGAAGAACAGGATTTAAATTGCCCTAGAACAGTGGTTTTTGACGTTTCATCTTTATAATAGACTGGTTTTCAGGTGAACTTAGTGGGGACCAGGGTAGGAGCTGAGGTGTCAACAGCGTGGTCAGGGTACTGCAGATGCCGATCGACCCTAAGAGACTCCCCTCTGCTTCCAGATAAGCCCCGAGGACTACGAGAAGCTTGGCTTCCCCGGCGCCCAGGACCTGGCCAACATGTTCCGTTTCTATGCCCTGAAACCCGACCGTAACATCGAACTGAGCCTGAGGCTCAACCCCAAGGCCAGGACGCTGGACCAGTGGCTGGAGCAGCACAAAGGGGACTTTGCAGGACTGTGACTCTGCCCACCTCTCAACCCCATCTGGGGGGACGGGAGGTATAGTTACAGTGATCCTTTCTTGTGTTACAAGAAAGTTTATTGTTTAAATAAAGGCCATTGTTCTCACAAATGGCTTCCAAAACAAAAGTGCTTTGTTTCAGGGACTGGGGTTGGGGTGGCAGCTGCCTGAGGACATGAAAGTTCCAACAGGAAGCATAAAGTGGTGGGGGGCCCAGTCAAGTGGGGTGGGGCTGAGAGGACCCCCCCCTACCCCCGCCAGCCAGGAGCAACGTTTGACACCCCTGCACATACGCCGTTCCTCTCCAGAACGTGAGTGCAGCCACCCACGTGTTCCTTCTTTGAGTTTTAGGGCAGGAAGACCGGCCCCTTCTCCCTCTCTCTTTTCCTGCTTCCTGGGCCCCCGGGTGCAGAGGCCTCGAGATGTAGGTGATCAAAAAACAGGCTGGAAAGAAACCCTTGAAGGAACATGGCAGTTCTGTGGACCCCAGGTCATATAAGACTTGGACACTGCTGAGAAAAGGTGACACCGCCCACAGCAAAGGCTGGGAAGGGAAACCAGGGAAATAACCACCCAGCCCTACTTGGTGGGTTGAGCTCCCCAGGGATTTGGATGGTTTTCCTCTCCTGCTTGCTTTAGAGAAGAGAAATGAAGGCCCAGAGGACACAGCCGGTGGACTGACCATGTCTCCGTGGACCTGTGAAACCACCAGCGTCTGTACTACCCCGCCTCAGCCTCAGGACCCGCAGAGGCATTGAAAGGGGAGCAGGGCTGCCAAACTCATTCGATCCGTTCATTAACTGAGTCACTGAAAAAGCACTTCTTTGACAACCTACCAATGTAAGCTGGGCCCTAAATACAATGTTCACCAGAAAAGTATGCGCCCTGCCTTGAGCCTGGTTTAGCAAGAGAGCCAGAAACAAATCTGCAGAATGACTGCAGATTAACATAGGGCTGCAGAGAGCAGGAGGAATGAGGAACACTGGAGGAGGGGCCCACTTTAGTGGGACAGGGACAGCTTGCAGTCTGAGGGCAGCAGCCTCCCAGGCAGGGTAGGAGGAAAAGGACGTGATGACATGGGCTTCCAAGCCCATGCATATCAGCAAGAGAACATGAGAAGTCATCTGTGTCCAGCCCTGTGATGCCCAAGTCCCCCAGGCCCCTGCGTGGGGAACTCACCTGCTGGGGCTGTGACTCACCATGCCGAGATCCTGGAGCAGCCCTTGGCCAGCACCAAGCCTGGGTAGAGCCTGCTGTGCCAGGTCCAGGTCCAGGTCCAGGGCAAACTGCAGGGAGCTGATGCCAGGCTCCAGCCGCTCCTCATCCACAAGCAGGCCATGGACACATCGCCGAGCCTCTTGGGTCTGTTTGCTCACCCGGTGCCCCCTGGCCAGGCTGTTGTGAAAGCAACGTGAGGGCATTTGTGCGAAGCAGTGTCTGACTCCCCTGGGCTCACATGGTCAGGCCAGTGAGCCTCCAATGCCTTCCCTTGTCCACGCTCCAAACATTTCAGCAAATGCTCACACCATCTACCTCTCCTCCTCTCGATCCCCAGAGGCTCAGGGACCTGGAGATACTCTTTTGTATTTTTAAATACCTCACCTCACACTCCAGCCCCACCTCGGGCTGCAAAGTTGTCTGGAGACACGTCTCAGGATCCAGCTGTGGGAATAAGCCAAATCCAGGCCTTGAGTGGGCTTGATTCTACAGATATTGCCCCACCACCTTCTGACCATCTGAGGGGAGGACGCCTCAGTACAGCAATGAAGATGTCTCACTAGAAAGAAAATCCACTTTTCCCTTTCAAAGTCTAGGCTTCTGTTTTCAGAAGACAGGCCACGAGTGGGACTTTGGTTGGCTTCTCCAGGAAGAAAACCTAAGCTATCACGGGAGAAACCATCTAGCTCCCCACCGCCATACCCCGGGGTCTAGGATCCTTCCAGGCCCATACTGAGTCCACAGCAGGCACTTGACAAACTTCTGTTCAATGAAGGTCAAGTTTGGAAATTGGCAGGAAGTCACTGAGCCCCTTTCTCACCCAACAGGTATTCCCAGCCTCTTCACCCAACCCAGCAGTGCCCTCACACCTCAACCTGCTCAGCCCAGAACCCAGAGTGGGGCAGAGCTATATGCTCGGGGCCCACTCCAGCCACAACAGCACTTGGGCTTTTGTGAGACAGCCCGGACTAACACTGCAACACAAAAAAATACCCTAATATTCCTCTGAAAATAATGGAGGAAAAAAAAAATCTAGTGAGGGAGGTGGTGACGTGGAGGGACCTAAGTAGGCCACACTGCACGTCTCTCAAATCGCAGGCTGCCAAAGAAAAAGCTACATGCCGAACCCTAGAACATTCGTCAGATCAGCACCCTCCCGCCTCTGGGATCTGGGCTGGAGAGGGTCAGCGCCTGTCAGAGCGCCACCCGTCGCTTGGCGCACGTGACTCCAAGGACTAGGACAGCCACCTCCAGCTGCCCCAGGAAGGCCAGCAGAGACGTGGGGTGGCCTGACTGGCAGGTGACCACCGGTAACCCCCTGCTGGGCCACCTGCAGAAAGCTGTCTGAACTCTTTCAAAGAAGAAATGACGACAATTTAGGTTTTAAATATCTCTTTGTAGTAGATAATCTTATTTACATTGATACAGAATCATTTTACATTCCTAGAGAAGACACTAGTAGATGCTTTATTTTAGTAAATTATGAAGGAAAACAAAAAGGGAACTAATCAGAAGTGTTCTCCATTAACCTGTCTTACCACAGCGGGGGCATCTGGAAACACAATGGAACCCACACATCCTACGAGCCAAGGCTGCAGAAACAGTGTTTTGCTCTGGCTGGATGGTGGAGAACCTTCAACTGCTGAGACTGTGCTCTCCTTTTCTGAACAAACGTTTATCAGGAAAAGACGATGATTCTTAGCACTGAATAATTTAAACACACTTCTGAATACAGAGGTCAACTGTGAGTGGTAAGAACCAACGCCCTGGCAGGCAGCAGGGCAGGGCTCCGGGTTAAGAGGCCGTTAGTCGGCTCCAGGCCACGGCTGGCTGTGGCCCAGCAGAAGGGCAGGAGCTCCACTCACACCCGGCTTAGAACAACAGAATTCAACTGTCAGGGGACAAGGGGCCACCCCAAGTGGGGTGGGAGGAAGGACTATCCATCCTGACAGAGATCATGGCCCATGTGATCAAGAGTAGCATCTCCAGGGACTGTCTTCACATGTGTCACCCCGGGCCCCCAAGGCCCCCATGTTCCAGCTGCTTGGTACCTTTCGAAATTAAAACAAACTCTAGCAGGGGATCCCCTGCTGAGGGGTGGATGACACAAGTGGGGCGTGCATGCCCCAGGTTCCTGGAAAAGACAACCCTGTCAGGAAAGACTCATTCTGGAACCTCCCAGAGGTTTGCTGAGAGGGAAATTAATCACTTCACAACTCGGTGCAGCTTAAGGCTTCATTTTTAAGCTGTAAGCATGGCCTTTAATTCTTTAACCACATTTGATTCCAAATCAGAGTTTTAGCTCTGCAAGAAATGTCCAGCTGTCTGACTCTGCTGGAGCCAGAAGAGGCCAAGTTACCTACCGATGGATAGGAAACTACCAGCCCTGAGACCTGCCATGCCTTACTGCCCAGGGGCTGTCCACCATGACCCTTCCATGGAGAGGTGCACTGTCACATGATTTTGCTGTTTCCAAGGTGGTCCAGAGGGCCTCTGCAGGCAGGGGCTCGGTGCTGCTGTGTGGAATCCTCCTGCATCTGAGATGCCCTGGCCACAAGGAGGGGCTGCTGCTCCCGGCCTAGTTTCCGGTGGACCGTTTTCCTGGGCCAAGACACAAACAGTTACATTTCACTGGCATCGCAGGAAGAACATGCCCTGTTGGTGAGCTTCTGTCATCCCTGAGAAGGAGCTGCACCAGGAGCCCCAGCCACCAGGGACCAGCACAAGTAAAAAGTGAGTCCCGAGACACCACAGTGAGCAAGCAGGACTCCTGGCAGTGCCCCACACCCCAGCCCTAACCAAGGTTGACACCTCCCCACGCCTCCCAAGCAGGACAGGGCGGGGATTGGGGAGATCTGAGTTCTAGGCCTGGCTCTGCTATGACTTGCCCTCTGTGACCGTGGGCAAACTGGTCCTCACCACAGCAGGACGCAGAGCCCCCAGGAGCTGGTGGGAGGAGGGCTGGGAGGCAGCAACCTCTCCAGGAAGTGGAGCCGCAGAAGCGGCTACTATCTGTGGTTCGGCCCTGCACTACCGGCTGACTCCCCATGGGCTGAGGCTTGGCTCTGAGGGGAGCCAGACATACCACGCCTGAGACTGGAATCTCTTCAACTCTGGGTGTGGGGGGACGATACTGGTTAAAATGACAGAAAACGGATTAGTTCACAGAGGGGAACGAAAAGGGGAGGAACCTCAGGGGTTTTCCTACCTCGGCTGGGATATCAGGAGGTAAACATTTTCTTAAGTTTGGAAAGGAGTCCCTCCTTGTCCTCCCCAGCCTCAGGCCTAGCCTTGCCTCCTGCGGAGCTATCCATGGTGCTGCCACCTGGGCACAAACAGCAGAGAGAACTGGGGTCAAGGGCGCACACCTCAATGTGTCCCATCCCAGGTCCTGCCTGGCTACCCAGGGCTCGCCACTGAAGGAGCCACCAAGCGCCACCCGGAGAGGAGAGGGGGCTGCCCCGCCTGTCAGATGACTCAGCACTTTGGAGCATCCCAACTGCTGCTCGAGTCACTGGCCCTCGAAAGGAAGACAAGAAATAGAAAGGGACAAAAAGAAGCTGTCTCTACCTTAACAACCATAATAGAAATAGAGCCAAGTGCCAGATGTCTTCTGGGCCACGGCATCCACATTAGCTCATTCAATCCTTAGGCTAACCTTACAGGTAAATTCCACAGATGAAAAAACCAAAAACCAGAGGCACCAAGGGGTTAGGTGGCAAGCCCAAGGTTACAGAGCCGGTAAGCAGGCAGGAGGCCCAAAATGAGACCCAAGCAGTCAGACGCCAAAGTCCAGGCTCTCACTCACTGGCTCTGAGATGTGAAGAACATGCACCAAGACCAACCGATCAGCTTCCACAGCCCGTCGGTGCACACAAACCGTCTCTGGGACACCTGGGGATCCCAGGACATGCACACTTCTCATCTATGACAATGGCAGCCGAGGACCCTGTGTGTCACTGGGCAAGCATCTGGCTCCAAATGCTCCAGATAAAGGGAAGCTGATCTGCTGTTTCTTGAGGGCCCACTGAGAGCATCTCTGCTGCACAAACACATCGTTTTAAAGACCTGCCAACCACGAGGCAGAGGGCCAACTTGTTATGAGCTGGACTGTACTCAATATTTTTCATTGTGCTAGGAGAATTAGCACATCTCAACATGCTAGGAGATGTACATCAAGTACAGCACGTAAAGGGTACAAAATGGTCACGTCTCCAAGATCTCAGTCTAAGACGCCTTTGTTGGTGAGAGGCCCAAAGCTCTGGCCCCCAGCAGGGGTGGGGCAGGTTGACCTGGGTACAGCCCCCCGGGCCGTCCTCTGGACCTGATGTGCTCTCCTAAGTCAGGAATGTCCTCAGAGAGATAGCGGTGGCCCCAAACAAGAATGTGCTGACAGAGGTCTGAGCAACCACAAAAGCCCGATGCCCAGCGCTCCCCAGGTGAGGACCCGGGCACTGCACAATCACGGCGGCAGGCCCCTGTGAGAGGCATCCATGGCCGCAGGTTACAAGGCCAGGTGTGCCCTCCTTCAGTCCTTCATGTCCCCTTTTCTTTCATAAAGACTTAAGTAACAAAAAAGGACTCTCCTAACACAAAGGAATCCACAAACCAGAAATTTCCTGGGCCTCCTCGGACAAGGCAAGGCAAGGCAAAAGTATTGAATTTTGCTATGTCCTTGGTGAGGGGACAGCAAGTCTGTGTGTGTGCGCATGTGTGTGTGTGTCTCACACTATGAGTTACTGCTGCTGATGGAGCTTTTAACATGTGCCAGGTATCATGCCAAATGCTTTATCCACATGATCTTATTTAATCATAGAAGAACCCTATGAAGTAGATGCTACTATTAGCCCCAATTTATAGATGAGGCAACTGAGGCTCAGAAGTGAAGAAATTTGCCTAAGGCTTTATAGCTAAAAATGGCAGAGCTGGGACCTGAATCATTTGATAGCAGAACCCAAGCTCTTAACTATTAGTCACAATGGGGCACAGAAACACTCAGTGACCACCATCACCCCCACCCCCACTCTGCTGTCCCTGCAGTCATGCCCCAGGGCCACAGCATTTGGCCAAAGTCTGGGAGAGCCAGAATAAATACCTAGTTAGCGGGTTAATGATTCAAAACCAAAAAATAAAACAGAACACAGACACACCTGGAAATTCTCACCCCCGGCCACCAGAACACATTCTTATCTCTATTTTAAATGTGGGCTCCTTCAGGAATAAGGCTTACTGACAGGGACATCAAAGGATTTAAACACTGAGTTTAAAATTCTGAACCGAAAGTCAGGGATAAACTGTGAGCCTCTGCACACGGATGATGCAGTCTATACCTACATCACTTTTCTGGCCCATGGGAGGAGGGACGTGTCCTTATAGGATGTCCTGAGCACTCAGGTGCCTTCTGGTCTCATTACAGGATACAAGCTGGCACATGATTCCTGCACTTAGGATAAACAGGAAATGCCCATGATCCCTCCAGCTGCACAGGCACTGCATGAGCGTTTCCAGTCCGCACCTTCAGGAGGTGACCAGAGCGGAGGGGCTGCTCAGCCAACCTCAGGCAGAGGTTGGACCCAAGGCACAGGACTCCTCTATCAGACCACACGCAGCTTGCCCGAGCAGGGGTTACATTTCCATCCCTCAGAAGGAAAATGAATTCAGATAAACTCAGCTAACAGGCGCTGTGCACATGCAGGGGATTCAAAGAGGACACGCTCCCAGCCTACTGGCAGCAATTCCCAGTCATAAGTGTTTGACGGCTCTTTACAAAATGAAGAATAACCAGGTAACATTCATTCTGGGAATGTGTACCACCTTTCTCCACAGTCACAAACCCCTAGTGTTATAAGCAAGGTCTAACACTTATTTGGGGGTTCAGCGCTTGCCCTGTCCTCCCCGCTCACACTATAAGCTGGATGGGGCAGGGACCCTGTCTCTCTGTGCACTGCTCATCACGTGGCAAATGCTCAATGACCATCTGTGTGAAGAAACAGAAGCCAACAGGACTCCAGGATGACTTCTGAGGACTGGACCCACCCTACAGGTAGAGGTGCGGGTCTACACTCACAGCCTGACTCCCTGAGCCGTCTACACGCACAGACTGAGCCAGTGGAGCACCCCTTGTTCCACTAAAATGTCTCTTCCCTCATCTTCCTCTTGCCTCCACCCTGCCTAGATAAAGGGGCTCTATAGTCAACTGTCAGCTTGTCAGAGAAGAGAACGCAGTGGGATCCCCAAATAATGAGCTATGGAACAGGCTCCTACACGACAGCTAAGTGTACGTATGTGGGTTGTCACAGGAATTAATGATGATCCAGAAACACAAACAATGAGCCACACTGTCTCTAAACCCAAAAGGCCACGTGGTACCTCAGAGCACCCCAGGCCCCTGAGAGCACTAAGGGTCCCAAGCTCACTATGGTCTTCTGCTTCACAGACTGGGAATGAAGCCAGGGTCAGACATTAAGGTTTTCAGCAGGGGCTTTAGGGAACAAAAGTAAACAAGGGATACTAAACCCACCAAAAACTTACATAATTGTAACTTCCTACATAATTGTAGCCTTCCCGTAATGAAAGCAAAGGCACCCAGGAATCCCTTTGTATCTGCAGTGACAGTCTCCGATGACTATCTCACTCAGAGGCTATTAAGAAATGACACTTTAGCCCAAGAACCACTGATGACTGCAAGCAACTGCTTCTAGTAAAACTTTAATAAAAGAGATTCAGGCTCTACTTAAATAAATAGGAGTCACCTTAAGGAAGTTGACAGGAGGGGAATTTTGTACACTGGTGTGTTTTCACACGTGGACTGCAAAGGTAACTTTCTTCACAGTGTAACAAGAGGCTTAACCACACCCAGGTAGCAGACTGACTGACAATGCATTCTTTGAAGCCATTACTAAGATTCTTAAATGCCTTTTAAAGAATTATGTCTGGCAGCCAAATTTCCCACTGGAATACAATTCTGAAATGACAACAGAAGTGGAAACAATAATAATTCGGCATACTCATTTTACTTTATAAACACTTTTCACAAATGCATCCAATGCCTATGTTAAAGTTACGCTATACTCAGCAAAATTATGTCAATAAACATTTAAAGGAAGAACTGGCAAAGTGTCTGGCACACAGGAGCGTCCCAATAACTCCTGGCTGAACAAGGGGACAGGGAATGAGCTAACAGGACAAAGAACCATGAAAGTAATGACGGTTCTAAGAACACTCATAAGCTGACTGCATGATCAACTCCCAATTTAAGCTCTCAGAAAGGGACTGAAGACAACAACTGGTGACGACTAATACCTGACATTCAAATATAGTGAACAAGGTCCAGGTGGACCTCAAGTTCCCAGTGTGCGAGGGGGCACAGCTGAGAACTGGCTGCAAAACAAATCTCACATGCTCCATGACTGCGGAAATATTTGGGACTCAGGAAGAAGCTAGAGGTGCATAAGTAGAGTTACATGGAACAACCATTCCCACTTCCTTTTAGGTCAAGAGATATTAACAGAAAATATGAAAAAAGTCTATGAACCAAACCACTAAAATAAGTGCCCACTTGGTGCCTAGTTGGCCACAGACAGGATTTGTGGCAGCTGCTTTTTCACTGAGGACTTGGTCCCCTGGACTTAACAGGAACTCAGGGGACCTCCCTGGCAGTCCAGGGGTTGAGACTCCACACTTCCAATGCAGGGGGTGCAGGTTCGATCCCTGGTCTGGTAACTCAGAACCCACATGCCACGTGGCACAGCCAAAAAAACACAAAAAACAAAAATAAAACAGCTTAGCCAAGTCCACGCAAAGGCTATTGCTGCTGGGACCCCCACCCCTACCCCGGGGCTGCAAGACCAAGCCCCCACCCCCCACTCCGATCACCTGCTCTGAATGACCATACACTGATCTAATGCCATTCAAGCTCTGAGAAGGTGAGAGGCAGATCCAGGACCCAGACAAAAACAAAATGATGCAACAAGGAAGCAACATGTTGGGCAGCTGAAGCCAATTCACCCTTGGCACGGCCTGTCCCGGCCCCAGCAGAGGCCCACCTGACAGAGAACAGCATTTTCTCAGCAGAGCAGCCCCATCCCATGGGAGGAGGGCTGTGGCTGAGGTTCCCGTGGCCAAAGCTTCTGCCTGTGGGCATTTTGGTATCAAATCACCAATATTTAACTCCACTCTACAGAGGGCCTATGATGTTTAAGCTCAAGGTAAATAAGGTGTTTTGTTTTTCATTGCCCTAGGAATTCAGAATTTAAGCCTGCTATGAACAGGCAGATTTGGGGTAATGTGACCACGGTCCTTCATTGCTGTAGTAGTTGTTTACGGGACACTCTGAAATCCTGGAGAAGCTTTCTGGGAGAGGAATGCATTAAGCCTCCCAACCCATCTTCTCCTTTAGTGGTTACAAGGTGATCTCAGGTAGGGATGTGCCCAAGGTCACAAGGCAAGTGGCAGAACCAAGGATAGAACTCAGGAGAGCAGCCCTCTGAGACACACAGCTGCCACCTGGCAGGAAGCATCGTGGAACTTGCTAACCTCGGCAAGCAGCACAGGTGCAGAGGAAGGGGGAACAGCTTTACTCTGGAGCGTAGCTGCCCCCGCTGTTCCTAGCCCTCAGCTCCCCTCTTTCTACTCTGCTCTGCCCAAGTGGAAACCCCAACACGTTTCTGAACCGTCCACCCTCCGAGGGGCTGGGGGCTCCCACAGGTCGCTGGGCCACCTTACCAGTGCTTGTGTTGGTGACGCCGTTCACTGTCCCCTCCACATCGGTCTCATCCTCAGCGTAGCTCAGAATCAGGCTCTGCTGCCGGCTTGTCAGTCTCCTGTGGACCGAGCACAGTCAGTGTCAGAGTGCTTCCTCTGGGCAGCTCTTTAAAGGACGTGGACGCGGCCAGTCCCCATGCAGCATGTGGGAAATGCAAGACCCGCAACCCAGGCACAGGACACACCCTGAATCCAAGAGCCCACGCCCTCAAAGCTTCCGTAAAATAAACCTCCTGAACTACCCTAACTTGCTCTAAACAACTGCCACTGTGGCTATGCTAAATAGTTTACAGGGGGGAACAAAATGGAAATGATCTAATTAAAGAGAGGGCTGGAAACCCAGTCCTCCCAAGCGGAGTCTGGCATGCCCTGCTCTGGATGCCCACAGCTCCCTGCTTGGACTTTTCTCCCAGACACCGCAGACATCACCCACCACTATCTGGTAACAGGTTTCTGCCACCAGATGGCAGGCAACCTGAGAACAATGATAACAAAATCAACAGCAGCAGCAATAGCTAAGCATTCCCTGTGGGTTATTCTTTTAATCTTCCAGCAACTCAACGAGGTCGAGCTTTTGTATTACGTCCACTTTCAGAAGGAGCACCCGGGCAGGACACACTAGACTTAGAGGGAGAAGTAACCCGCCTAAGCCTCAGCGCTTATGGCAGCAGAGTCACACAGGTCGGGCAGTCAGGCTCGGTGCTGAACCACCATGCCGCTCAGCACCAACTCAGCAGGTAAGATGCCCTCAAGAGGCTCCTGCCCAGTGCTGAAGGCTGCAGAGACAGGGCGGGCCTCGCCACAGCTGAGCAGCGCTTACTTTGGAACTCTGATCTTGATGTGAATATAATGATCTCCATAGCCGTAGCTGTTAATCCGGGGGATGCCTTTCCCGCTCATGCGAATCTTCTGGTCTGACTGAGTCCCAGGGGGAATCTATAAAGAAAGAAAGGAATCTCTGGTTTTCCTTGGTTTCCAGTTGCTCAAATGAAAACATTTCACTATGTGAAGACAATCTTATTCCCAAAAAGAACTCCATTCAGGTTTCTAGACCAAACCCACCAGAGACCACACAGAAACTGGCTAAGCCAGGTCCATCCCGAGCAGAGCCTGTGACGGCCTTGAGGGCAGGGAGTCTGGGGCGGCGAGCCCAGAGCAGGAGTGAGGGAGCATGGGGAGCGAGACCTGGGAGGAGGCAGAGCCAACTGGGGCACCACTGAGGCTGCTCCCCGGCCCGGCAGCAGTAGACATGGCCCGGGAGCTGCCTTCCCTGCCAAGTCACACCCAAGGCACAGCCAATACTCCTCCTTCCCCCCCATACCCAGCTTGTCTCCTCAAACCCCCGACAGGCTGGCTGTTCCCAGGTTCCAGCCACTTCTCAGCCATTTCCCGTTTCAGAAAAAAAGAACAAGGAAATACAAGGATGGCGAGGCCACACTTGTCCTCTTACCATCACGTTGATGGTCTCGTACAGGCCCTGCGCTCTGGCGGTGCCTCCCAGAATGGCCTGAGCTATGGAAATGAAGAGGTCGGAGTGGATGTCTGCGCCGTCCCTCCGGAACACGGGGCTTTTCTGCACCTACGGCCAAGCACGAGAGGGGGTTACGCTCAGAGAAGTTGTCCCGGAGAGCAGGCAACAGACGCATCTCAGCAGCTCAGAGCACAGCGTCAGGGAGAGAATGTACTTTCACCAAAGCAACCACGCCCCCAGGCTCTGGGAGTTACAGGGCAGGTTCTTACTTCACTGCAATGCAAGAGTGTCATCTCAGATCAAGCTGTTCAATTGTTGAGGGAAGTAAAAAAGTAAAATCAGCTTCTGAACATTAAAAAAAAAAAATCTTTCTTTATTGGAAAGTATAAAGAAACACAGACTAATACAATCTACAAAGGTGAAAAAGGTTTACTTTCCAAAGAGTCATTTGGTACAAACTACCTTCAAGTCAAACTGGCAACACTGGAATTATTCTCATTTCATAAGCACTATTTTTCGTGTGTCAAAGACGTTCTTTGCCTTCCAGTGATTTCTTCTTTTTTTCTTCTCTATTATCAGCTGCGAACAATCTGAATTCTCTACCAAGGCTTCCTTATAGATTGGCTTCCAGCCCGCTGCCTTTGTCTTCGATTTCTCAGTCTAGAAGACTCACCCTTTACATTATTTTTTCTTTGTTTTAAATTATAAAATATTTCACATATACATAAACCAGCAACGTAAATAACACACGGTGTTTCCACAACCCAGCTTAGGTAACAACATTAGGACACAGGTGACTTCTCCCCACCTCCAGCTCACCCCTCCAGAGTAACCAGGCCAATTTAGTAGGTATCATTCCTACAAGCATCTGTTTACTTTTCCTACATGTTTACATGTCCCTAAACAATACATAACACCACCTCACATGGTTTAAAATTTTACACAGATGACTTCCTTCCCTTGCCCTGCAACCTGCTCTCTCCCTGTTTGTAACTGAGAAGTCCCAGGACATCTCATGACGACATGTGTAGCGCGAGCCTCCTGCTCTGAGGTGCCCTGGGCCCACAGCGCAGACCACTCACCATTCTCCTCTCCAAGGACAGCAGGCTGTTGTCACTGTCTCGCTGTTGTTAACGAGGCTGTCACACACCCTGCCTCTGCGAACTGCACCTCCTTGGGTACACGTCTGGTGGAATCGCTGGCAGAAGGCGCCACCTCCTCTCATGTTTCCCTCACCTCAGAAAAGTGGGTTTGCCCTGCACATTGTACGTAAAGCTGTAGCTGTGGCACTTATTGTCCCTATGAACAATTTGATACATAAATAAAAAATACAAGGAGATGTTTTCTGTATTTTTATGAGTCCAACTTGTAAACACCTTGAGGAAACTTTGTTCTCTCCACATTTAGCACAAAAGCTTGATGTAACACACGTTTAATCACGCTGCCAAAGTGGCCACTGCTCATCTTAGAAACTCAGATGGCCAGACACTCTGTGAAGCTCCTACTTCTCCTATGAGAAGCCTGGGCCATACCCTCTCCAGGAGAGCAAGGGCCTGACAGAAGCTGTGCAAACAGAGAACCTACCCTGAATGTGATGAAAATTTCTCTTTTTCCTACAGGCATCCTCACAGTCTGGCCATCCTCGACTCCTGTAAGTAAAAACAAAAGTTCAAAAGAGAACGATTATTTTGGGACCTCCCAAGGCATTTTCTACGCTAGATCCATTTACAACCCACCAACTTACTTATTTCTGTTCCTTGTTAATAAGGAATAACACAACTACCGAAGATAGCAACAAGTATAACTTAAAACAAGAATAACTTTCCAAAGGTGCAACATACAATAATTGATAACTGAACAAAAGCCCCTTCTATTCATTTCTTTGGTTTACTGCCAGGTCCACCTAGTATCTCAGTGAGTTTAGAGTCTAATCGGGGAGACAGCTATTAGCCAAATAACAATACTAACAAATGTATCACTACAAACAGAGACGTGTTCTTAGAAAGAAAAGATCACAACTCCAGACAAAGGAACATCTAAGGAACAGGGAGGGTTCCAGAAGGCTCCCCTGGGGAAGTGACACTTGAGCTGGGAGCTCCGGGAGAACAGAGTTAACCTACTGAAAAGAAGGTGGACAGTGAGCTTCAGTCACCGGGAATGGCGTATGCAAAGGCTCTGTTCTGGGAGGCAGGGGCTATGTGAAAGTCAGGAAGCTGCAGGGCAGGTAATGAGGGGGAGACTAAAAAGAGGGGAGGCTGAGACCAGCAGGGGCTGGAAGGGGAGGCCATTTCTTGGCCCATGAGAGTCACTGCAGTGTCTTCAACAGGATGAGAGACATGATCAGACCGCACAGTGGAAACACTACCCTAGGAACAGGAGCCAGTTAGGGAGAGCAGGCACAAGCTGGCCCTGGGGGCAGGAGAAGGGGGTGGTGTTGCCCGCTGGGCTGTCAGTGGGGACGACATTGGCCTTGGGACAGAAGATGGAGGAGCTGGGGGAGTCCTTCACACAGAAGCAGAGCGGTCACGTCAGGTTCCATCTCCCCACGTGACATGGGTGCAGATTTTAAGGATAACTGGTGCAGAGGAAAACGCAAGGAGACCCTGGTTCCTCCTCGAGTTTGGGCTCCAGAAACAAGGAGACACGATGGCTCCGGCTCCCAGCCCCTGCGCGTGGAGGAGCCCCAGACCCACCGGCAGGCACAGGGATCACCACCTTCTTCTTCTGCTTGGCTTCTCCTGCTCCTCTGCACACCACACAGGGAGATGTGATGATGGAGCCCCGGCCACCACACCTCCGACATGTGGAGCGCATCACAAAAGGGCCTGTATTTATGGTTTCCTGATAAAAAGGAGAAGAAAAATGGGAGCCTTAGACACAGGTAAATCCTGACAACGAGGTCTTGGGACCACAATGTGCACGAGAAACATTTCACCAAAGATTCACGTGTTGCGTGCACATGCACTAAAACATACTGCCTAAAGACACAGGTGCAGGAGCTCAAACCGTTAATCTGACCTAGAGCGCACCGACTTCTGAATCCCAAACCACAAACCTGATTATATGAGGCTGAAAAATGAGATGCTGCCTCTCTACAGAAGTTCCCAAAACTCCTGGGAGCTGAGCAAATATGTTTTAAAAAGAGTACCCCCCCCCCATTACAAAAGGGACAGCTGGGAAAGCAGAGAAAGAAAGAGGAAAGTGATGACTGGATGCAACCCCCCCCCAGAGCCGCCATTGCCCACTCCAAGGGAGGACCACACCTCCGACATGTGGAGCGCATCACAAAAGGGCCTGTATTTATGGTTTCCTGATAAAAAGGAGAAGAAAAATGGGAGCCTTAGACACAGGTAAATCCTGACAACGAGGTCTTGGGACCACAATGTGCACGAGAAACATTTCACCAAAGATTCACGTGTTGCGTGCACATGCACTAAAACATACTGCCTAAAGACACAGGTGCAGGAGCTCAAACCGTTAATCTGACCTAGAGCGCACCGACTTCTGAATCCCAAACCACAAACCTGATTATATGAGGCTGAAAAATGAGATGCTGCCTCTCTACAGAAGTTCCCAAAACTCCTGGGAGCTGAGCAAATATGTTTTAAAAAGAGTACCCCCCCCCCATTACAAAAGGGACAGCTGGGAAAGCAGAGAAAGAAAGAGGAAAGTGATGACTGGATGCAACCCCCACCCAGAGCCGCCATTGCCCACTCCAAGGGAGGAGCAGCACTGGCCTGTCTCCCAGGGCCCCCCACTGTCCCCAGCCCCCATAACAGGTACCCTGGGAACAAGGAGGCAAGCAGCTCCTCTCGCAGGTACTGGGGCTGCTCATGCTCCCCCGCAGGGGTCTCTTCTTCCCCACCCCCCAGCCCCTCCCACCCCAGTCCTCCAGGAGCCTCCCAGGCTCCCAGCCCCTCGCACAGCTGGTGTGGCCTTACAATTTGTGGCCACTCCCATCAGCTCCTCACTGGGCACTGGAAATCGGTTACCTTTTTATTTAACCTAACATCCTTGGGGGTTTTTTTCTTGGTAAATTATCAAATACCTGTTGTTATAGCAAATCAAAGGATACAGACATATATTAAAAAAATTATTAATCTCCCCCCTCATCTTGATTCCCAAGGTGACCAGCTCTTGGTAGCTCAGTTTGAGGTGTTCTTTCCCACAACTCGCTCACTCACTCTCTCTTTCTCTCCATAAAAAACGTTCTAAGTAAAAATTTTATAATGACAATATATTATACTATCGCTCTGCAACTTGCTTTCCCTTTCATCTTCATGATACATCATGAACATACATCCAGACCAATATATATAGATTTCAATTTCCATTTTAATATTTAATTTTTGTTTCGGTGAAGAAAAAAATCTCTTCACATAGATCCTTCTGTTCCGATGTCTTATTTTTTTTTTCTAAGACAGATTCCCAAAGGTGGACTTGCTAGGACAAATATTTATTAAATTTAAAATTTTATGTGCTAGGTACTTCCCTGGTGGTCCAGCGGCTAAGACTCCCAATGCAGGGGACCCAGGTTCGATCCTTGGTCAGGGAACTAGATCCCGCACGCCGCAACTAAGAGTTTGCATACTGCAACTAAAAATCCTGCATGCCGCAACTAAGACCCGACACAGCCAAATAAATAAATAAATAAAAAGATTTTTTTAAAAATACAATTTTATGTGCTATATTTATTTGAAAAGGTCCTATGTGCGTATGGTACAAAATTCTAAAGTAGGGACTTCCCTGGTGGTGCAGGGGTTAAGAATCCCCCTGCCAATGCAGGTTCAAGCCCTGGTCCAGGAAGATCCCACATGCCGCAGAGCAACTAAGCCCATGCGCCACAACTACTGAAGCCCATGTGCCTAGAGCCCGTGCTCGGCAACAAGAGAAGCCACTGCAATGAGAAGCCCACGCACCACAAACAGAAATAGCCCCCGCTCGCCGCAACTAGAGAAAGCCCATGTGCAGCAACGCAGACCCAACATAGCCAAAAATAAATAAATAAATAAATTTATTTTAAAAAAATTTCTGAAGTAAAAAATGAAGGTACGGTGAAAAGTTAAATGTCCCCCTCACCCCTGGCCCCTAACCATTCCAAGTACCTTCCATAGATGCACAGCTGTAGTGATATTCTTGTGCATCCTACTTTTACAGACACACATTTCAAGCCATCCATCTGTGCATTACAAGTTTTCAACAAGCCCAGGTAGCATACCGTGCACACAGTTCTGTGGCTTTTGCTATTTTGTTTTTAACAATTTAATAATCTCAGAGAGCACTCCTCATCAGTGTATTTTTCAGACAACTCACTCCTGGTGGTCACTGAGGCTGTCCAGTCCTTTCCTATTACACACAGGCTCCAAGGGACATCCTGTACGTGTGCTATTTTCCAGGTGTGATCTATAGGGTACATCCCCACAGAGAGAGGCATATGTGCAGGTGAACAGCCACTGCAGCTGTGGCCAGGGTGGTTTCCACATTCACCATCAGTGCACATGAGTGCCACGTCCCACAGGCCTGTCAGCAGGGCCTGAACCCATCTCTGAAATGTGTGGCGAACTTCAGGCATCTCCTTGGCTCCACCTGCACTTCCCTGATCGCCAGCAAGAAACATTTGCTGGTCACTTGCATTTCCTCTTCTCACCTTGACCTGTTTCTCTAATGAGCTGTTAGTCTTTTTCTCATTATTCTGAAAGAGCCCTTTACATATTAGGAATACTAATCCTTTAGCTATGTCTTGCAATTTTTTTTTCCCAATCTCAAACATTACATTTTGAGAGAAATACATTTCAGCTTGTCTTATCTCAATGTTCACCTAAGAAATGTGAAAAAAGAAAGTCATAGCAATTCATGGCCTTGGAGAAAGGACCTTAGAAGTGAGAGGGAATTAGGATCAATAAAAAGTATCTGTAGGGAATTCCCTGGCAGTCTAGTGGTTAGGACATGGAGTTTTCACTGCCAAGGGCCCGGGTTCAATCCCTGGTTGGGGAATTAAGATCTCATAAGCCGCCTGGCGCAGCCAAAAATAAAATAAAATAAAAAATAAAATAAAAAGTATCTGTAACAAGTGGCAGCAACTCAACTCACAAAACTGTAACCACAGGAATCCTCATCCTCTCCAAGAGCGCCCTCTAGAGGAATGTAAGCACAACTTCACTTTCTCAGACTAAGCTGTAGGAGTATTTACAGGTAACTCTGGGCACACCCATCAGTGGACTATTATTTAGCCATCAAAAAGAATGTTTAAAAATATTCAAAGATATGGAAAAATGCTTTCATTATAATAAATGAAAAAAGGGAAAAATTGAATGTATGATTCTGAACCGTTGAAAATTATATACAAATAGGCAAAAATATATTCAAAGTCAAAAGACAAATACAACTAAAATCATTGGCAAAGGACTAATTCAATTAATTTATAAAGGGCTTCTACAAATGAATAAGAAAAAGACCAATTACTCAACACAAAGAAGGACAAAAGATGGAATACATGCAAAAAAACAATGGCTCTCAAATCTTAGAAAAGATATTCTACTTCACACATAATAGATACCTGTATATTCAAAAAATGAATATGAGGAATGACACTATTCAAAGGTATCCGTTGTCTATAACATGAAAAAAATAAGAACCACCTAGGCATCCAGCAACAGGGGCCTGCCTAAACAAACGGTGATGTGTCCATATAAAGGAATACCGTGGCCATAAGAAGACTGAGGCAGGGACTTCCCTGGTGGCGCAGTGGATAAGACTCCATGCTCCCAGTGCAGGGGGCCCGGGTTCGATCCCTGATCAGGGAACTAGATCCCACATGCATGCCGCAACTAAGAGTTTGCATGCCACAATTAAGGAGCCAGCGAGCCGCAGCTAAGAGTTCGTATGCCACAACTAAGGAGTTTGCCTGCCACAACTAAGACCCGGCGCAACCAAATAAACAAACATTTAAAAAAAAATAAAAAAGACTGAGGCAGCTATAAATGCAGAGTATTTCTCAAACATACTGAGAACTAGAAACAAAACAAAACACCAAGGTACAAGCAGTGCTAACAATTGTATTCTATCTCTGGTATGAAAAAATGCACACACACACACACACACACACACACACACACACACACACACACACACAGGCTTGCATACAGAAAGACAAAAGATGTTTCTGGAGAGTGGAACTCAATGGCTAAAAGTCAAGATTGAGAGGGAGACTTATCTTACACAGTTTTCAATTTGTACCCACTGAATTTCCAATGATTTGCATATACAACCTATTCAAAAACTAGCTAATATAAAACAGAAATGACATTCCTAATCAACAACTGGCAGGCAGAAACAAAGACACAGACGTAGAGAACAAATGTATGGACACCAAGGTCGGGGGGAGGGGTGGATGCACTGGGAGATTGGGATTGACATATATACACTAATATGTGTAAAATAGATACCTAATGAGAACCTGTTGTATAGCACAGGGAACTCCACTTCACTGTACAGTAGAAACTAACACAACATTGTAAAACAATTATACCCCCCCAAAAACAAACAAACAAAAAACAACTGGCAGGAAACACACCAAAATACTAACAGTGGGGGGATTATCAGTGACTTTTGCCTCCTTTTTCATGCTTTTCTGCACTCAAAGACAACTTCTATCTCCCCATACACACACATACCATGAACAATGATTTGATTTTAAAGGTGGGTGATGGAGAACTTCCCAACTCCCTTAAAGAAACCATCTAAATGGAATACAAACATGCGCAATGGAAACCTAACTGCATTTCAAACAAATAATCATGGTGAAGGGGGAGAAAAATAAGTGATCTAAGTAAGTTGAGCACAGTATTTTAACTATATGCCCTAATCCAAAGGTAAAAACAACTCTAAATACTAAATGCCAGTTAAGCAGGACTTCTTTTTGCACTGGTATGAGTAACAATTCTGAAACTACTTTTTGTGTCTTATAGGATTGAGCAAATGAGTAAATATAGAGGATAATCAGAGCCAGATTTCTCTTTATTAGAAATTAATAATTTATCTTTATTATTTAGTTTCAAATATGGATAGGCAGAGGACTAGATAAACCTTGTGGTATTGGGCTGGAAGTGGAACTATCAGGTGGGTGATGGGTGGATGGATCGGTGTGAACATATGTGTGTATATACATCTATAATATGAAAAATATGGAAACATAGGTATGAAATATGTATCTATATGTGCACATGCACATGTGCTCATACACACAAACACATGCTTTTTTCCTGGCTCAGTCTGCTGAAAAGTCTTCGAAGCAGTGACACTCCAGGCACAATGACCACACCTAGAGCACAGATCTTGGTTTCTTAAATCCCACTAGACAGTAAAAGGAACCAGGACTCCTTAGAGAAATGACTGGCTTTCCAGGGTGTGGCAAGGAAAGTACAAGTTGTCTAGAATATCCTGTTGTTATAGAAAGTAAGGGAGCGCTGAAAGAATGAGGGGGACACATCAAAAGAATACAGAAGCCAGCCAGAAGAGACTTCCACAGGCCAAGTCAGGGACAGTTTGAGCATCAAAGTAAGTAATACTAATGACAGCTCAGTGAATAAAATAAGAATCCATGAGTTCATACTGATATGAATGAAAGAATGAATAAATAAATGGAGAAGAGAAAGCTCTTCCTCTCAGTGGAATGACAATAAACAAAGAAGGGATGTTGCAATCAGAAAAGCACCATTTAGGGAGATTGGGATTGACATATATACACTAATATGTATAAAAAAGAACTAATAAGAATGTGCTGTATAAAAAAATAAATAAAATAAAATTCCAAAATTCCAAAAAAAAACCTTAAAAAACAAAAAAGAAAATCACCATTTAGCAACAGTCACAGTAATCCCTGATTTAGGCAAGACTGATCCATGGATGCTGTAACTCCTGGGTATAAGTTTGATGAGGAACAGGATATTTATATAGTGTCAAGGTACCTCACAACTTCCTTGTTAATTTCAATGGGAAAAATAATAAACTTTATAATGAAGAAACCCGGTGGACACTACCTTAACTGACTGTGAACAAATGTAACATCACCACTAATGAGACAAACTGACACCTCATGACTCCTGACATGATCCATGAAAAGGGCACTACATGTCTGGTGTTTCTGCAAAAAATGCATAATCTGAATTTTATCAGGATAAAACATCAGATGGCCTAAATGAGGGACATCCTACTAAGCAGGTCTGTAATCCTAAAAAATGTCAGTTGTCATAAAAGAAAGATGAGAAGTCATTCCCGATTAAAGGAGACAAAAGATATGACAACCAGATACTATGCAAGATCACAGACTGGATACTGGGCTTGTGGAAAAAAAGAACATTATAAGGACAACTGAAAAAATCTGAATTGTACAGATAATGGTATCGTATCAACATTAAACTTCCTGATTTTGACAACTTACTGTGGTTACGTAAAAGAATATTCTTGCTCTTAGCGAATATATACCATAGGGACTTCCCTGGTGGTCCACTGGTTAAGACTCTGCACTCCCAATGCAGGGGGCCCAGGTTCGAACACTGGTTGGGGAACTAAGATCCCACAAACCACAACTAAGTTCGTGTGCTGCAACTACTGAGCCTGTGCACTCTAGAGCCCAAACGCCGCAACTAGAGAAGGCCACGTGCCACAACAAAGAGCTCGTGCAGCCAAAAACACACACACACACACACACACACACACACACATGTACACACCACAAATGACAAAGCAAATGGGACAAAATGTTAACAATTGGTGAAGCTGGGTAGAAGGAGTAAGGGAGTGGTTCTTCATACTATTCTATACGTTTGAGTTATACCTGAAACTTACCAAAAAGAAAAAGAAAAAAATGATCACACTTCAAGCAAAATTTAAGTCCCCCTCCCCTACCCCAGGTTCAAATTACCAAAATACCCCACAATGTATTTTCAGAGAAGACAACAGAGTTTCATTGCTTCTTCTGTATTGTTGATTAGGACAGAGCACTCCTGGGAAAATGCAGAAGATTCTAGATAAAACAGTCCCACCTAGTTATGAGCTCTCAAAGCCCTAGGTCCATTGGAGCACAGAAAAGAGGAGTGGTGGAGGGGAGCAGGAAGGGGGCAAGAGGTGGGAGGCCAGGGCCTCGGCCTCATGCTCACCATGCCGGAGCCACCGCAGTAGTGGCAGTGCTGCATCTTGGTGCCGGGCTCGTTCCCTTTGCCATCACACCGCTCACAGGTATCAGTGATGTTCACGGTGAACTCTTTGTTGACACCCTTGGCAGCTTGACTGAATGTCAACTCCATGATGTACTAAAGAAATCAAGGGACCGCCTGTTATCTCTCTTAAAGTAAGGGAGAGCACTGCCCAGCAGTTTACAGTTACTTTTTCTTTTAAAGACTTTACTTTTTAAAGCAGTTTTAGGTTTACAAAATTGAGAAGGAGGTATAGAGATTTCCCACATACCCTTTGCCCCCACACACGCACAGCATCCCCTGTTATCAGCATCACTCACCAGAATGGTACTTATTTTATCAAGGATAAACCTACATTGACACAACATAATCATCCAAAGCCCACAGTTTACATTAGGGTTCACTCTTGGTTTTGGATATTCTATGGGTCTGAACAAATGTATAATAACATGTATCCTCATCATAGCATCATGCAAAGTATTTTCACTGCCCTAAAAATCCTATGCTCCACCAATTCATCTGTTCCCCTAGTTACTTTACTTTTTAACTTACTTGTACTTTATCAAGCAAGAATAGATGGGACTCAACTGATTCTGCCCTACTCCTCAGAATTTTTAAGAGATAATATTTAAGTGAAAATGTGCTTTTCAACAAACTGAAAATGCTCACAGAAAATATCTGTACATGGTCCTTACTAACAATTCAAACGATCCACAATCCTAACTCACATAATAAAACATCTCCCCTCTCTCTTCAATTCTGATAATGTCTGAAACAAGACATAAATATGGAAGAGGCAGGACTGGCAGTACCTCCCTATGGATTGAGCTCTCATAGAATAATGAGGCAGGCTCCAGATAAAATATTCACACTCTGGGCTTCCCTGGTGGCGCAGTGGTTAAGAATCCGCCTGCCAATGCAGGGGACATGGGTTCGAGCCCTGGTCCGGGAAGATCCCACATGCCGCAGAGCAACTAAGCCTGTGCGCCACAACTACTGAGCCTGCGCTCTAGAGCCCGCGAGCCACGACTACTGAGCCCGTGAGCCACAACTAGTGAAGCCCGCGCGCCTAGAGCCCGTGCTCCGCAGCAAGAGAAGCCACTTCAGTGAGAAGGCCACGCACCGCAACGAAGAGTAGCCCTCGCTCACCTCAACTAGAGAAAGCCCGTGCGCAACAATGAAGACCCAATGCAACCAAAAATAAATAAATAAATAAATTTATAAAAAAGAAAAAAAAACCTTACTATTGCTGATTTTTTTTAGGTATATTAAAAAATTCACACTCTAACTATGGACTCTGAGCGCCTTAGGTGCTGCCGGATTAAGCAACTGTAGGAATATAGTAAAACTGTATGTACACATTATTATATGATTTTTCAAATACTGGAACCATTTCCTACCAAGATGGCTGCCTCCAAATCATCCCATTTAAGCTGCTTTAGCTTTTTCTTTGAGAAAAAGAATTGGTAAAATCTGTTTGCATCACACTTGGCAGCTAAAGTTTGAATGATTCTTCAAAATGAGAGGCTTACCTCCTGGGGTTGATGGAACACACTCTGGAAGTCTCCAAAAGAGGAGGATGAGAACTCCCCAAAGATCTTCCTGAAGAGCTCTTCAGGGTCAACAGTGGGGCCTCCTTTCCAGTAGCTCTGCCCAGAGCTGCCGGCCCCAGGATCGAAGCCAGCAGAGCCATAGGTGTCATACTGCTTCCTCTTCACTTCATCACTCAGGACCTACCGTGAAAGGCACAGCAGTCAGGTGCTCCTGAGTCTCCCAAGGTCCAGGGACACAGACACCAAGCACAGACAGTGGCATTGTACCAACATAAAATTTCCTAATCTTGACAGCTGTACTGAAGTTATGGAAAAGAATGTTCTTGTTCTTAGCGAATACACACAGAAGTACTTAGGGAAA